CCTGCCTGCAGAGGGACAGCAGCTGGAGGATGCAGCCAGATGTGCACCAGTGGTGCACTGTGGTGAACCCAGCTGACCATCCCTTGGACTCATGTCCAACCAGCCCGTGGTCCTGAGACCACAGTACTGAGGCTCCTATGTAGCCCCAATAAACGGAGCTGGTAAGCTCTCAAGAAGAACCTGGTGGAAGAAAAAATAAACCAAGTACCGCTGAGACTTAATTTAGGGCATATTCTGCCCAGAAGGAATGGCATCAGAGAATAAAACTCTTTTTTTTTTCTGGTTGAGGCACTTATTTGTCCTGAGAAGACTCCTGCTTTGGCCAGCGTTGCAGCTCCTGGAGGCAGCAGCCAGATCTCCACACTGGGACAGGCCAGCAGCTTGTAGAGGCACTTATTAAAGGACGTGCTTCAAGCCATCATCACAAGTCACATCAAAGGCAGCACGTTGCAGCTGCTTGGCTTTCAAAGACCTCTGAAGCTCTCCAAAACTGCAAGTAGAAGATGCCCCAGGAGGGAAGGTGATACCCTGCTGATGGAGGACCATGTCTGTCTGGTGGCAGGGGCACCATGGGGACATTCTTTGTGGTCAGCATTAACATCCCACCACCTCCTGCCATACCCTGCCAACGAGGCAGTCACCCCAATGCTCACCCAAAGTGACGGTGCAGCAATTTCAGGGTCACTCCAGTGACCCAGACAGGTCTGTCCCCTCTCCCAGCTCCCCCAGTCCTCGCTGTGGGCATCTAGAGTCACCCTTGGGGGTGGAAGTGAAGCATGGTGGCCTCAACTTGCTCCTCACGACAGCCCCTTGTGTGCCACAAGGGTGGGTGTCTCGAGGGTGATGACACCCCACGAGGGCACCCTCCGGCCCCACAGGCTCTGAGACCTCTTTGTGGGGACCTGCCACCCCAAAGCTGCTCATGGTGCCGAGGGAAGAGCTGCTCTGCAGATCCTTGAGGGCACAAGCGCCCAGGACTGGGCTGATGCTCACCATCCCAAGGGATAAATCCCCTCCTCCTCCTCCTCCCAAGCAGCTGGAGGAAGGCTGGGCTTCGTTGTCCCTTTGCACCAGGGCCAGGCGTGTCACTGTGGTTGTCCCCACACCAGGAGAGGTGGTTCCTCCTGCGGTCGCGCTGAAATACACAGAGGAGCCCTCGGCTGGATCTGGGGGGAAGCTGCTGAGAAAGGACATGGCTGAGTGAAAACCAGGCTCCTGCCCTGCTCCATCCTTCCATGTTGTTCTTGAAGTGCTACCTCCTCCATTCCCCAATTTTTCATCGTTCAGACCAGATTCAACACCCCGAGGACCGACTTCCCTCGTGGGGAGGGAAAGGTGTGCCCCAGGTTCAACGCTGGCAGGTTTCTCCATCATCCATCCTCCAAGATGGACCTCTCCCAGGCCACCATCTCCAAAAGCTGCGTTGATGGTGGACATATCTCCTGTCTTCAAGGCCAGCCTTACCAGCAGCCAGTGGTGATGGTTTGCCCAGCCATCCTCCAAACGTTCTCCGAATTGCAGGAGCGATGAGCCGTTGCTGGTCTTGGGATCTGCCGTGGTCCCTTCCTCTGCCAAGGACCCACTGTGTCCTGACGTTCCCAAGCTCTCCCCTGCTTGGGAGCCATCTCCAGCAACCTGGTCATCATCTGCAGCCGCAGCACTGCAGGCTGTCTCCAGGAAGCCCTGCCAGATCTCAGTGGACTTGGGATGGAGCAGGCTGTAATAAACCACCAGAGCTGCGGCACCTGAAAAAGAGCAGAAAAGTGTCAAGGGATGAGTCCCAGCAGCGTTTCGGTGAGATGCAGAGGAGAGACCAGACCTCGCTGCCACCTCCAGATCAACAGGCCCACTGAAGAGATGCTACTGGGCATCAGGTGTCCAAGCAAGAAGCCATAACACCACTGCATCTCCCTCCTCCATTCCTTTAACTGAGATTCTCCCTATCTACTCTGCTCTGGTGAGAACCCTCCTGAAGTGCTGTGTCCAGCTTTGGACCCCCCGACCTATCTACTCTGCTCTGGTGAGAACCCTCCCGAAGTGCTGTGTCCACCTCTGGACCCCCCAAAACAAGGACATGGAGCTGTTGGAGCGGGGCCAGAGGAGGCCACAGAGGTGCTGGGAGTGCTGGAGACCCTTTGCTGGGAGGACAGGCTGAGAGAGTTGGGGAGGGTCAGCCTGGAGAAGGCTCCGGGGAGACCTTGGAGCCCCTTCCAGTCCCTCAAGGGGTTCCAGGAGAGATGAGGAGGGACTCTGGATGAGGGAGGAGACCTTCCAGTCCCTCAAGGGGTTCCAGGAGAGATAAGGAGGGACTCCCATCTCATCCCATCAGGGAGGGGAGTCATAGGACGAGAGGTTTTAAACTGAAAGAGGGGAGATTTAGATAAGTTATTAGGAAGAACTTCTTTGCTGTGAGGGTGGTGAGAGCCTGGCCCAGGTTGCCCAGAGAAGCTGTGGCTGCCCCCTCCCTGGAGGGTTTCAAGGCCAGGTTGGACGTGGCTTTGAGCAACCTGCTCTGGTGGGAGGTGTCCCTGCCTAGGGCAGGTGAGTATAAATGATCTTGAAAGTCCCTTCCAACCCAAACTATTCTATGATTCTAAATGAAAACGTTCCCCTGCAGCGATCCCCTGTGGTACCACTGCCTGCACCGCTCACCAAGCACCAAGATGATGGAAAGCACCAACAGATGTGCTTCAAAACTGCCAGCGGTACCTGGGCCATTTGGTGACATCTCCATCATTTCTGCAAGCCTCCTTCTTCAGGGATGGGCTTTTAAAAAATGATGAAGAAATGAAACTCAAGGTGGATTTATGTATTATCATAGAGATTCAGATGCTTAAGCTTGGAAGAAATAAAGCAAATAGTCCCATGCAGCTAAAATAACCAGTATTATCATAGAGATTCAGATGCTTAAGCTGAGAGAAATTAAGCAAATAGTCCCATGCAACTAAAAGAACCGAAACTGAAAGAGGGGAGATTTAGGTAAGTTATTAGGAAGAACTTCTTTGGTGTGAGGGTGGTGAGACCCTGGCCCAGGTTGCCCAGAGAAGCTGTGGCTGCCCCATCCCTGGAAGGGTTCAAGGCCAGGTTGGACGTGGCTTTGAGCAACCTGGTGTGGTGGGAGGTGTCCCTGCCCAGGGCAGGGGAGTATAAATGATCTTGAAGGTCCCTTCCAACCCAAACTATTCTATGATTCTAAATGAAAACGTTCCCCTGCAGCGATCCCCTGTGGTACCACTGCCTGCACCGCTCACCAAGCACCAAGATGATGGAAAGCACCAACAGATGTGCTTCAAAACTGTTAGCGGTACCTGAGCCATTTGGTGACATCTCCATCATTTCTGCAAGCCTCCTTCTTCAGGGATGGGCTTTTAAAAAATGATGAAGAAATGAAACTCAAGGTGGATTTATGTATTATCATAGAGATTCAGATGCTTAAGCTTGGAAGAAATAAAGCAAATAGTCCCATGCAGCTAAAATAACCAATGATGCTCATTTGCTCATTTACAACTGAAATAACTAATGATGCTCATTTACTCTCAAAACATGTAATCCAGGTCCTAAAAAACAGCAGATCTTACCTATCACAGACCCTGACATGATGGCCCCGGTCACGCACAGGCTGCTCCTCAGCTCTGCCTGCAGGAACCGGGTGGCCAGCAGCAGCAGGAGGGTGTTCTCCATCAGCATTATCTGCCAAGCAGAGGGAAGAGAGACATCACCTTCATGCTTCTGGTGGTTTCAGACATGCTTCTCACGGCAGAAAACACCCAGTTTCTAGATTTTGCTGATTTATTTTGCACCTAAGTTGTCTCTTAGAACGTAAGGGCTGCCGAGATGAACTTTCTGCAAGGTCTCGACCACTTTTTTTACCAGAAAAAATAACTCTGGTAGAGCAGCACAACCACTCCCATCTTACTGGGACATTCTGTGGCTGCTGCTAAGAACACAAAGCCAGCATGAGAAGGTGCATCCACCCTGGTGACCATGTGGCGTTGTGAGGACCATCCACCCTGGTGACCACGTGGCTTTGTGAGGACCATCCACCCTGGTGACCATGTGGTTTACCATCCACCCTGGTGACCATGTGGCTTTGTGAGGACTCAAGAAACGCTGGGTTTTTATCAAGAGGCGATGTGAGAGATGGGAAAGGAGAGTCTGAAGGTCTTGCTGCTCTCCAGAAGCATCATCCACGTGGAACATTGAGTAACCTGGGTACTTACTGCATAAAACACGGCCACCCTGTGCTTGGAGGGACCGGGTCGGACGTTAATATAGCAGAAGACATACACAGCTCCCACCAGGCAATTGAACAGCCTCCAGCGGCAGGGTTGGGCCACGATGTCCGTCTGCTGGGCCACCAGCCAGAAGGCCATGAGCAGCCAGTGGACACCTGCAAGGGGAAGGGACCGAAAGCCGTTCCTGGGGGAGGCTGCAAACGAGATGAACTTTCTGCAAGGTCTCGACCACTTTTTTTACCAGAAAAAATAACTCTGGTAGAGCAGCACAACCACTCCCATCTTACTGGGACATTCTGTGGCTGCTGCTAAGAACACAAAGCCAGCATGAGAAGGTGCATCCACCCTGGTGACCATGTGGCGTTGTGAGGACCATCCACCCTGGTGACCACGTGGCTTTGTGAGGACCATCCACCCTGGTGACCATGTGGCTTTGTGAGGACTCAAGAAACGCTGGGTTTTTATCAAGAGGCGATGTGAGAGATGGGAAAGGAGAGTCTGAAGGTCTTGCTGCTCTCCAGAAGCATCATCCACGTGGAACATTGAGTAACCTGGGTACTTACTGCATAAAACACGGCCACCCTGTGCTTGGAGGGACCGGGTCGGACGTTAATATAGCAGAAGACATACACAGCTCCCACCAGGCAATTGAACAGCCTCCAGCGGCAGGGTTGGGCCACGATGTCCGTCTGCTGGGCCACCAGCCAGAAGGCCATGAGCAGCCAGTGGACACCTGCAAGGGGAAGGGACCAAAAGCTGTTCCTGGGGGAGGCTGCAAAGCTCCCCAGTACCAGGAGCATCCTGGAGGTTGACCAGCAGGATGGGACACGGGGAAGGTGATCACGACACCTGCAAGGGGAAGGGACCGAAAGCCGTTCCTGGGGGAGGCTGCAAAGCTCCCCAGTACCAGGAGCATCCTGGAGGCCAACCAGCAGGATGGGACGTGGGGAAGATGATCATAGGTCCTACCTGCCACGGCAAAAACCCAGAAGGAATAGAGTCTGGCAAAGAGCACCAGGGACAGGACCCTGGTGCCCAGCATCCCTGTCCTCCAGAGCAGTAGGCAGAGGATGGCTGTGGCCGGTGGGCAGAGGTGACCAGGTTTCAGCAGGCAGGAGAAGTGGCTGTAGGAGACCAAAGCCCAGGCGAGGGAGAGCAGGGACAGCCCAGCGCTGACACCTGCACGGGGACAAGGGCAGTCAGGTGCTCTGAAGGATGCCCAACTGTGTTGTTGGACCATACCTCGATGCTAAGGAGCTGTTGGTAGCACAGCACTCCAATACAAAAACCATCACTAAACCATATCCCTCAGCACCACATCTACCTACCTTCTGAATACTTCCAGGGATGGTGACTCCACCACTGCCCTGGGCAGCCTCTTCCAAGGCTTGACAACCCTTGCAGTGTAAAAATTTTTCCTAATATCCAATCTAAACATCCACTGGTACGACTTGAGGCCATTTCTTCTTGTCCCATCACCTGCTCCTTGGGAGAAGAGACCGACCTCCCCTGGCTACACCCTCCTTTCAGGGAGTTGCAGAGAGCATGAAGGTCCAGCCTGGCCCAGGTTGCCCAGAGAAGCTGTGGCTGCCCTATCCCTGGAGGGGTTCAAGGCCAGGTTGGAGGAGGCTTGGAGCAACCTGGTCTGGTGGGAGGTGTCCCTGCCCAGGGCAGGGGGTTGGAACTGGATAATCTTTAAGCTCCCTTCCAACCCAAACCATTCCATGATTCTACCATCTGTCCCCGCTACTTTGCCCTAGGTCTTCCCAGCCCCTTTGTAGCCTCCTCCTCCATCCAGAGCCTGCCCTGTCCCCTGCCAGATGCCTACACGCCTCTCCCACCCATCCTCCTGGGAACTCCCCACTCACCGGGGACGAAACCCGCTGGCTCGACTGCCACCACGACGTAGGCTTGCAGCAGGAGGTGAGGCAAGGTCTGCAGGAGGGCTTCCAGGAGCCGCAGCACACACACGTCCCCGTGCTGTGTCACCACCTCCCCGGCACAGGCACCGCCGTCCATCTTCACTGCCATCCACAAAACATCCCAGTACCTGCAAGAGCCACCGTGATGGGATGTCCACCTCAGTTTTGGCAGATTTGGAACCGCCAACTGGGTTGGGTGGGGGCTGGATGGACAGTGGGGAGCATCTCTCACCGCTTCCAGAGGCCCAGCTGCAGGAGGTGGAGCACCAGGAGCCAGAAGCTGGGTGGTGGCCATCTGCCCTGTACCAGAGGATGCTGAGGAGCTGAGCGGCGTAGCCGGGCACCACACAGGCGATGGTCAGCCCCAACCAGCCCAGTTGTCCCCGGACAAGGTAGTGGATGATGGTGCAGAGCCCTGGAGAATGGCAGAGAGGGACTACTGAGGGATGCCAAAGGTGCTACCCACCACCCAACCCCAAATTCACCTCCCAGCTGCCAAGGGGGGAGGTTCACAGTTCATGTCCCTTGTCTTATCTCCGGCTGCCGGCTCCCAGTGGCTTGTCAGCTGTGGCACAGCCATCACCACCGAGGGGCCTGGCCCAAAGAAGGGCTCTCTGATAACAAGCCCTCACGCTCCAAAGAAATAAATAAAAATTCAAATTTTCATATTTAAAAAAAGAAAAAAGAAAAAGAAAAAAGGCTGGGGTGTGCGTGGATGTGGAAAACCCCACACTGCTGTTCAGGAGTCCCCAGGTAAGTGTAGGTAGGGTGCTGCTCCTGGGGAGGAATAACCCCCTGCACCAGGACAGGTTGGGGGTGACCTGCTGGAGAGCAGCTCTGAGGAGAAAGACCTGGGAGTCCTGGTGG